GATTCCTTATAGATTTCTAGATATAAGCTTCCAAAGTATCCTCCTCGATTGCACCATTGCTGTCCAAAACAGCAGTTGCAGCAGATTTTCAGCAGCTTTAATGTTCCGAAATCGATCCATTAGCCTTCCGAAATCCACCCGAGACCCTCGGGACTTCAACCAATTATACCAACATGTCCCAAAATACAATACGAACTTAGCCGAGGCTTTAAATCACATCAAACAACGTCAAAATCATGAATCGTACTTCAATCCAAACTTTATGAACGTTGAAATTTCAAACTTCTACATTTGATGCCGAAATCCGTCAAATCACGTCCGATTGACCTCAAATTTTGCACACAAGTCATATTCGATATTACGGACATACTTCAACTTTCGGAATCGGAATCCGACCCCGATATCAAAAAGTCAAACTCTCGGTCAAACTTCTCAAAAACCTTCAAATTTCTATCTTTAGCCAAATGACTTCAAAATGACCTACGGACCTCCGAATTCACTTCCGATCGCACTCCCAACTCCAGAATTATCATACAGAGCTATTCCCAGACTCAGAATCCCAAACGAACATTGATAACCCTGAAATGCACTTCAACCCAAACTTATGAAATTCCTCCAAAATGCTAACTTCCACAATAGGCGCCAAAACGTTCCCGGGTGTTCCAAAACCCGATCCGGACATATGCCCAAGTCCGAAATCATCATACGAACCTGCTGGAACCTTCGAATCCCGATTCCGAGGTCGTTTACTCAAAAATCCAATCTTAGTCAATTCTTTCAACTTAAAGCTTCCGAAATAAGAATTCTCTTTCCAAATCGACTCTAAACTTCCCGAAATTCAATTCCGACCATGCGTACAAGTCATAATACCTGAAGTGAAGCTGCTCATGGCCTCAAACTGCTGAACGACACGCTAGAGCTCAAAACGACTGGTCGGGTCGTTACAGCAAACATACACTCCTTCGATCCCAAAAATCTGACGAGAAACAACGACAAAATCGAATAAAAGAGCCGCGAACAAGACCATGAACCGACCTCGGATGGCTAATTCAATCTGAGCTTTGACGGGGAACCTCAAACAAACCTCGAATCTTGCCGAAAAAATTCGAACCTTGCCGGCGAACTCGGACACTACTTGAACCAGAGAACATCAATGGTCGCTCATGGTGATTATTTGGTGTACTGTGTGTTTTTGTGCTATTTTTGGGGAGTATTTTGTGGCTGGTTTCCGGTTGTGATATGAAGTCGTTGATTCTGTTGTATAGGGTGCAGGTGACAGCTCTGGAATAGAATGAAGAAGGGGGAGCGGCTATGGGTGAAGTGAGGTGGGCTCGTCAGTTGGCTGGAGATGGGTCTGGCCGCTGCTCCAAGTTCAGGGGGTGGTCGTGCGTTGTTCTGAAGAAGACTAACATCCGATTAGGGGGGGTCTATCCCTTCTCGCTGAAGAAGATGAAGAACGAGGGGGGGGGGGGGTTCTCTTATTCAGCGGCGGATCTCTTGCTGCTCTAGGTTTCTTTGGCGTTAGGTCTAAGGGTCTAGCTCTAGGTTGTGTATATATCTAGAATTAATTAGATTTTAGGGTTATAAAATCAGATGGGGTTGTGTGGGCTAAGGTTAATGGGCCATCCGGATTTGGGCTCAATAATTGGAATTTTTACCTCATGTAGCAAAGGTTAACACCTTATTTATTTTAAATAAATACCATTTAAAAAAATTATATTCTATAGATAACTTTTAAGGTTTATAGCAAAATATTAAATTTTGGTTACCTCCTAGCCCTAAGCCACTAAATACGATAATCAGTTACAATATTTTATTTCTCTCTCTACTTTGATACATCCCATTCTCTTCTCCCATCCCATTAAAATTTCCGATTCTCTTCCTCTTCTGTGTCTAGTTCGCTTGCGATTTCTCCTCCATCGATACAACATTATGAATTTTCCCCGATTTGTACAAAACATATTTGTATGATGTAGTTTCCCCATTTGCTGAAAATGGGTAGCTTCCCGGAGTTGTACCGTACTGCACCGTCGCCGGCGTGCCAAAGTCTTCTGTAATCCATGAAATCCTCATCTTGTCTTCACCAACCATGGAAATATGCACCTGAAAGTGTGAGATGGCTAATTTGTAATACTAACCGTATGGTCTAAAAGCTTAAACACTCATCGATCTAATCGATCTCAACCGGATTCTCCGATGTATCTTCACCGTTTAGCAATTTCTCTGGAAATTAACCCCCGAGGATTACAACCCTAAAGAAGATATGCAGATGCTCATCATGAATTTGAAGTATTTCAAACGCAAGACCCATCCCCTCCACCAGATTGTTATCTAAAGTTTTTTAGTTCTTATTCATCATTTTCTTTCTTATACTATTCAAACTCATGCTCTAAGATTTTTTTTCATTATAATTCAATGTATCTCGTTGTATTCCATGTATTTCATTGTATTCACTATCTTTTTTTCTCATTGTATTTTAATGTATCCCATTGTATTCTATGTATTTTATTTTATTCACTGTCTCGCTATAGCCATGAATGTATTCATAAGTATTTTTTAATTAATATAATTTATGTATTCAGATGTATTATATAATTTCTCTGAAGATTGCTATTTTTTGGGTATTTTTCGGTTGAGAATCTTTTTTATAACTGAAAATACAAAATTTGTGTGTTATAATTGAGTTAGTTGAGTTATATTAGGATTCTATTATGTTAATTGATTCACTTTCCCTTTTAAAAACAGTGTAATCCCCTATTTCACGCCGTGAATACAGTCGAATACAATAATCTATCTAGCTGTAATCCCATATTTCACTCCATGAATACAGTCGAATACACTCGAATACAACAACTAATTAGCTGGACTTCCCTGATTCACGCCTATTTTTGCTACTGTATTCATGAATACAATAACTTAAATACATCAAATACATCTTATAACCACATAAAAGGTATCTATAATTCGTAATATTGCAAATGGTATCTATAGATGGCTAATTACTACTAAAAGATAGTGCTTTATGAAAATTTCCCTTTTTAATTCTATACTTCTTGCAATTTGGCCAAAATATTAATTTCTTTTCCTAAAATAATACCATAAAATGTAAAATTAATCTTTATTAACTAAAATAAACAATATCATATTGTGAGACTATTTTGGTATTTTTTCAAAATTATATAAAAATAAAAGTCCTAGTAAAATAGTATGACTACAAAACTTTAACGAAACTATTTTTTTGTAATTTTTATTTTTTGGTGAAAAAATAAAGTAAAAGAGTCAAAACTAGTTGAAATAGCTATATTAGGCCTAAACTAAATATTTTTTTTTGGTAAATAAATGCTTTTATTACCAAGTAAATATGTCACGACCCAATTTCCAAACCCGGTCGTGATGGCGCCTCTCGTGAAGACAAGGCCAGCCAACTAACCCAAATTGTCTCTTTAACATTTATTAAACATAAACGAATAGGTGAATATAGCTTAACGACAATAATAACCAGTATGTACAACCCAACACAACCCGACCGGGGTGTCACAAGTCATGAGCATCTAAAGAAACCTGAACACAACTACAGGCCAATAATAATATATAAAGAAAAATTCAGGAAAATCAAAAGACAACATCCGGTGCCGCGAACGCTGGCGGTCACCTTGCTCAGCTACAATAGCCCTACCTTCAATCGGCTAATAACCCGCTACCGGGTGAACAATACCTGCAACTGCACGCGAGGTGCAGGGAGTAAAGTGAGTACTTCCAACTCAGTGAGTAATAATAGTAAATAATAACTGAGAGACAAGAAATCACGTAAGAGCACTCCATCATGCTATATAGGACAGTACAACTCTTTGAGAAAACAGTAAAACCGTGAAAATCCTTTAGAAAATATTTGGCTCAGTTTAAAACCTCTTTTGAAAACATCTTTTTCCAACAGTCAAGCAAATGAATGCGTAATCAGATAGTGCAAGTCCGCACATAAGTCAACCCCTCGGGCACAGCACTCCACAAACAATTAACACTAGGGCGTCTGGTAAACAGTACAAGAAGTAGCATGGATGCCAGTGATATGAGAGTGCTGAATGTAATGACACGTAGTACAAACAGGAACCAATGCATGAATGCAATGCAATGCATATGACCGCTGCGGCACGTAGCCTAATCCATTTGGGTACCCGCGCTCACTGTGGGGGTTCAGACTCCGGAGGGGCTCCTACAGCCCAAGCGCAATATCATCATAGTATCGCTGCGGCGTGCAGCCCGATCCGATCCTCNNTACTGTAGTCGGAAATATAAATAAATAAATAGTTTTAAATTAGATTTGCGACCACGGTAGTCGGAACTATAAATAAATAAATAATTTTAAATTAGATTTGTGCCTACAGTAGTGGAAAAACTCAAATAAAATTAAATAATATTATAATTATATATACCGTTTGCGACCGAAGTAGTGGGAAAGTTAATATAAAATTAAAATTTAATTCAACCTGTTTGCGACCGTGTCAGTCGAAAACTTTACCACATTTATTAGTCGTTTTTCTATTTTGCCTTAGCGACCGTTGTAGTCGCAAATTACGGACGAATTCGGTCGCAAACTATTTCAGACCAGCTATTTTGCAACTAGGACTTTTCGGTCTGAATGTAGTCGGAAATTAGCATTTTCTGACCACTTTTTAACCGTTTTTGCAGTCACAAAATAGCCATTTTCTAGTAATGAATTAAACTGATATGCTGATTTCATAAATTTTCTACCATAAAAGGTAAATACATAAAAGAATGTATAGCTTAAATTGGGATTATATTTATCTTTCAACATATACAACTAAATTATTACCTCAATAAAAGTGTGAACACCCAATTTTCCAATTATACACTTATTTATATGTTATTACCATGTCTGGATATGATAGATGGATTTTCTATATATGTCCTAAAAGTAGGTCATTGAAAGATATATAGCTACCCTCCCAAGCCTCCATATATACTTTATTTTATACCTTTAAACTTCCACAGTTGGAATAGAAAGTGTATTTTAGGTCTTCCTTGAAAAATGGTTAATGAGCATAGAAGATCAGTTGTTCTTCAAGAAAGGATGGAAACTTTGTTTAAGAAAGCAGAAGAGCTATCTGTTCTATGTGATGTAGAAATTGGTATTATTGTTTTCAGCCCTGATAAAAAAAATGCTGTATATGAGTGGCCATCAAGAGATAAATTTAAACAACTCTTGATGAGATATCTAGATAAACCACTGGTAGAGAGGCTTAAGAAGTTGACAACAAATGAAATGTTCCTCATGAAAGAGATGGATGCTAAGATGAAGATAATTGAGCAGCAGAAGACTGAAGAAAAGGAAATGGAACAGCTATTTAGCCAGTTATATCTTGGGGAAAAGACTGTCTTTGACCTGGATAAAAGACAACTTATAGGTGTTCGCAACTTAGCTATAAAGGCGAAAGAGAAGGCCGTTAAAAGGAGAATACAACTCAAGTACTTACAAGATCAACGTCTTTCGTTACCAATTGATCGCATACCACTTCGAGTGGCTCCATTTAATGTACAGGATCAACGTATTCAGTTACCTGTTGATGATCCTTTGGCACTTCGATTGGCTCCACTTAACATACAAGATCAACGTCTTCAATTACCTGTTGATGATCCTTTAGCTCTTCGATTGGCTCCTCCCGAGAATTAATGAATATGTTTAATCACAGTCAAAGATTAGCGCAACAACAATCAAAAGTTTATTTGTGCAACTTCGTGTGATCGAAGCTTCATATTCTTTGCCTATAGGAAAGCTTACATGTGAAACTATCAAGATATTTGTTGTGTTCTATTTCTCTTTAATGTATCTTTTCTTCCTTTGGTTTCTTATTTATTTTGTTTTCTATTTAGCAATAATCGTCGTCCAAAAGTCACTTTATAGTTTCAGTTTTGCAAATCAAGACTACTATTACAAGAGACTATTAGTATTCGATGGTTACATCGCATGTTGTATGACTATTAATTCAAAGTAGATAGATTAGCCGAGATCCTCATATGCTATTTTTCTTGTTAATTTCAAATTAAATCTTCCATGTCTATAAATAAACAACCACTGTAAACTTGTGATACTTAGTAGAAGAATGCAGCAACCGCCTTCCTCCTTTCATGCTCTAATAATTCAAAATCATATAAAGAGAAGGGAAAACATTTTCCAAAACTTCTTCTCAACCTTCCCACCCTATTCCCTACCATCACAAATCCACCTCACACCCACCCACCCAACCATCACCCATGCCTACCGACCCCCTCTCTCCAAAAAGGCATTTTTTTTTCTTTCAAATTTCCATTTTTTCTTCCAGCCACCCCCACCCCGCACCCCCCCTCCCCCCGCGCAAAAAAAAATATTTTTTACATTTTTTTGTAATTTCAAATTTCTGTTTGTTCATTTTTCTGCACCACCCAACCCCCACACCGCACAAAAAAAAAAGATTTACCTTTTTTTTTTTGTAATTTTTAAATTTTTATTTTTTCGTTTTTCTGCACCCCCTACCCCCAAAACCCCGCACAATTTTTTTTTTACTTTTTTTTTTGTAATTTTAAATTTCTGTTTTTTAGTTTTTCTGCACGCCCCCGCCCTTGCCCCCGTCCCCCGCCTCCAAATTTTTTTTTTAATATATTTTCAGTTTTAGTTTTTTCATCGGTTTATAGGTTCGAAATTTTACAAGTTCGAAAGTTATGAGTTCGGAGGTATATATGTTTGGAAGTTTACGGGTTTAGAAATTATAAAGTTTACGGGTTCGAAAGTTCGCGGTTTCGAACGTTTATCGGTTCGGAAGTTTGTGAAATTTGGGTTCGGAAGGTTGTTGGTTCGAATGTTTATGGCTTCATGTTTATTGTATCTAAATTATTTGTGAATACTCTTGAGAAGTTATTTTCCTTAATTTGCGTACCAAACACCGGAAAATGAATAAGATTACTATTTGTTTTCCAAGAAAATATTTTCTTGAAAATATTTTTCACGGAAAACATTTTCCATTATACNACAATTGATTTGGAATGAAACTTGTTCTTGAAAAATCGCCCAAAGAAGTTGTGTTTTGAAAATGGGATGAAAAATGACTCAAAAACGACTAAGTATAAAAATTGCTGGGCTGCAGATATGGGAATTGCGAACTGGGGTTCGCAATTGCGAACCCCGACCATTTGTGGGAAATGCGAAGCTGGGTTCGCATTTGCGAACCCTTACTGGATTGCCAGTTTTCGCATTTGCGAACACAAGATCGCATTTGCGATCAGCCTCCCTTCGCATTTGCGAGCAAATGGATCGCATTTGCAATCCTATGCCCAGACCGAAGGCGTCGCATTTGCGACTCAAAGCTCGCATTTGCGAGCTCGCAATTGCGAGACTCATCTTCGCAAATGCGAAGATCACAGAAACAAAATACCAGATTTTTCCTAAGTTAAAAATGTACTGCGACGCCTATCCAAAACTCACCCGAGTCCTCGGGGCTCCAAACAAATATGCACACAACCTCAAAAACATCCTACGGACTTATCCGCGCGATCAAATCGCCAAAATAAAATCATATACATCGAATTAAACCTCAAAATTCATAATTTCCTCCAAGTTTTCTCAAAACATCAAATTTCCATTTTAAGTCCGAAACACGTCAAACGGCGTCCGTTTCCAACCAAACTTTACAGAAAGTGCTTAAAACACATATAAGACTTGTACCGGGCGCCGGAACCAAAATACGGGCCCGATACCATAGTCTTTTAATCAATTTTCATTTCCAATTTCCATAATTATTTCCAGAAAACAATTTCACACAAAAATTCATTTTCTCGGGCCTGGGACCTTGGAATTCGATTCCGGGCATACGCCCAAGTCCCATATTTTTCTACGGACCCTCCGGGACCGTCAAATCATGGGTCTGGGTCCGTTTACCCAAAATGTTGACCGAAGTCAAATTTATTCAATTTAAAATCAAAATTTAGCATTTTTCTCACAGAATTCATATTTGAGCTTTCCGGCTACGCGCCCAGACTGCGCACACAAATTGAGGCAACCCTAAATGAGGTTTTCAATGCCTCGGAAGCACGGAATGAGTAAGGAAACAAGTGATGACCCTTTGGGTCGTCACATTCTCCACCTCTAAAACAACCGTTCGTCCTCGAAAGGACAGAAGAAAGAAGTACCTGAGTCGGGGAAAAGATGAGGATAACGGCTCCGCATATCAGACTCGGTCTCCCAGGCTGATGCCTCAGGGGGCTGACCTCTCCACTGAACACGAACAGAAGGAAAACTCTTGGATCTCAACTGACGAATAGGGATGGCAAATGGGGCGGGGCAGGGCGGGGCGGGGCAGGGCAAAATCTTAATGGGGCAGGGCAGGGCAAAGTCTTAATGGGGGCAGGGCAGGGCAGGGCGGGGCGGGTGAAATCACATTTTCTAAAAATAGTTAATGGGGCAGGGCAGGGATAGGGCAATATGTAGTGTATTAGAGGACAACAACCCATTAACCAAATGACCTCTTGTAGATTTCTCAATTTTCACAAGAACTACAACACATACGTGTAGATTTTTTTGACCAGAATTTGACACTCCAGGTTTTAATCTAACCTTTGAGATAGCTCTTAAGCCATTATTCTTCGGCGCGGCAACAGATGAAGCAGCAGTGACAGAGAATGAAGAAAAGCTTGGCAAAGTTCTTGATGTGTACGAATCAAGACTTAAGGAGTCAAAATATTTGGGTGGAGAAAGTTTCACACTAGCAGATTTGCACCATATACCTATTGTTAACTATTTGATGGGGACTAAAGTTAAGAGTTTGTTTGATTGTAGACCTCATGTTAGCGATTGGTGTGCTGATATATTGGCAAGGCCAGCTTGGTCTAAGGCACTTGACTACTTGAGTGCAGAAACAGTGAAATTACCACATGAATATGGCCTATGTATCATCAATTTAATTAACATGGGCCAAAGTTCAGATTATTTTAGTTTTGCTTTATGTTGTTTGTCTTTTTTTCCTTTAAGTTGAAAAGGTAAAAGAAATTAAAAGCATACTGCAAAATAAAAAATAACGAGAAAAAAAAGAAAAAAGAGTCTAAACGGGGCAGGGCGGGGCAGGGCAAAATTTTGACAAAAGGCTAAATGGGGCAGGGCAGGCGGGTCAAAATTTTAGCTGGTCAAGGCTTGCCGTGCCCCGCCCTACCCTGCCCTGCCCTATTTGCCATCCCTAATGTGGAGCCCCGAGGTCTCGGGTGAGTTTTAGACGTGTTTTGGATTGGTTCGAACTTGTTTCAGGTTGTTGGTGTGTTGGTGCTGCAGTTATCACAAATTGCAAGCACCAGCATCGATTGCGAAGAGGGCAGATGAGGATCATATTTCGGAAATGGGACGCCCTTATCGAATTTGCAAAGTCAGTGTTAAGTTGGGTCAAGTCGCATTTGTGACCATTTGGTCGCTTTTGCGAAGTAGGCTGTAATAGTAATCGGGAAGCCTTTGTCGTAACTTCGACATCTCTGTGGTTGTTAGGGTTCGCTTTTGCAATCCCTGTGCCGCAATTGCGAACCTCTTGTCACATTTGCAACATCCGCAGTTGAACAAACGGTTGGAATTTCAGGACTTATCTTTATTTATCACCTTTTTGAGCCCTAGATTCGGTGGGAGGTGATTTGAGGAGAGATTTTCATACCAAATTATTGCGTAAGTGATTTTGATCCATTTTTATTAAATAACAATATAACATGATTGTTTATGAGAATTAACATCAAAATCATGAGAATTGTAGAGAATTTTTGGAAAATTCTGATTATGTTTTGAAAAATGAATATTTGAGATTTGAGAGTCGAATTGGATTCAGATTTGAAAACAAAATACATATATGGTGTCAGGACACCAAAATCCCGCCTTAGGAATCATGAAGGCACCTAGTCCCTGGGAATAGATAAGCCTAACATATGCTGAAAATTAATGGAATCCAACTAACTTAACTACAAAACATTTGTTAACAACTTAAATAACATACATGAACCAACATTAGTCATACAATCTTAAAATTGGGCAGTACAAGTCGTAAGCTTTTCTAAGAGTAACTAGGAATATCAAGTACATCACTTTCACGACCCAATTCTCACTATAGGTCGTCATGGTGCCCAACGTCGCTATTAAGCAAACCAACGGTGAACTATCTACTTAATAATTTATTTATTGTATTACTTTTGAAATCATGATTTATATTAAATAAAGAAATCTATGCATTAAAAATCATTGGTACATACAATTTAGTAAAATATAAAATAGAACGGCGACAATATTAGGCAAAACCACAAACAATTACTAGAACATCCCAAAACCCGGTATCACAAGTGCATGAGCTTCTACTAAGAAGAATTATAATTATACAACATCTGTCGGGAATATAAGATAGACAAGATAAAGTAAATAAATATGACGGAGACTTTGTTTGCTGTAGATCATAACATGGAATACAACTCACCATAAAGTCCCCTCGGCAACTACGACTACGTGCCCAAATGACCTTCAGAAATGTACCTACATAATAAGTGCAGAAGTGTAGCATGAATACATAAATCAACGCGTACCCATTAAGTATTTAGCCTAACCTCGGAGAAGTATTAACGAGGGGTCGACTTCAACACTTACTAGTGGTCCTATAAATCAAGTATAATAATGGAAGTAGACAGGTACGAAACACGGCAAGTAAGAATAGTGAAAACGGGTATAAATACATAATACGATCTTCAAC